TCCGTATTCGGTGAAGAGACTCAATTTGGCCAAAGCAAGTCGCCACTTGGGGAAAACACAGGCCACCGCGTCGTCTTACGCCAACACCGGAGAGCCAGCTGGTCGAGCAATCATCACGTTCGAGACCACCATGCGTGATGAACGTTCAGCAGGTCAGAGTCCGCACGCCGGTCAACAAGCTATTAACATACAAGGGGCAATTATCATTAATTTACATTATATATTTGCAGTAATGACTATGTCCTTAAAATACCGAAAATTCCTGTGCATAAGTTACCCATTTCTGCTCATGTCTCTGATGAAAGGATATCTCTGATGAAGTATATCGAAGACTCAGGCAACTAAAAGTATTGTCCCAGCGATCGAATCGTCTTCTTCAGTCAGTATCAGTCAGTATATTTGGAGTAAATGACCGAAGCCCTTAAAAACTTCATTGAAATGGTACAGGAATGCATAAGTTTTTGTGAAATATGCAAACATTGTTACAGATCCCTTTTGTTGTGCAAAAGTGCACAGAAATAATTTGGAAATTACTTCCTGGACCTCTTATGTTCGCTTGCATTAACAGGAATATGGGTCAGCCGTACTACAGGTGACTCTGCTTTAAACCGAGGGGGTTAGGGTAAGGTTTGAGTTGAAAATACGGGATAGTATTTGATGATTAAATCGCCTGAAATTTAGCGCAAGACCACCTGTCGTACGGAAAGGGTGCCTATTCCCTTTTCCAACGCAATCGTCCTGACGAAGGTTAATTCAGATCCAAATTCGAGAAACGGCTCTCGGATTTGCTCCATGTAAACAAGTGTCTCATTTTTCCTTACCTCATTGTTTGCCAGGTGTAGGCTGCGCAATTTTTCGAAGTTTTTGAATTCAGGTGGCAGATTACTTAGCAGGTTGTTCGATAATGAGAGTTCCTCCAAATTTATCAGACTTCCAATTTCCCGTGGCAGAAAACTGAGTGAGTTTGTGTCCAGATGTAGAACTTGGAGATTGATAAGTTTGTCTAAAGCGTAGAAAACTGTTTTTAGAACGCGTTAGGAGTAAAACATTAAACGGTCATTTGGATAATTAACATTGAAAACATAATTGTAGATCTCTAATAAGGAGACGCATTTCAATTAGTCCAAGGACCTGAAGACATCGTGTGTAAATGACCGTTAACTTGCTGCTACTCAAGTAAAGTATACTTGAAAGGTCTGTAAGTGTGTTTACATAATAGAATAATAAGACTGGAAAACATCGTAACACACTGACCTTTCGTTGAAATTCTCCATCATTATCGGACAAAAATCGATAAATGACTCAGCAAAAATCCTATTCAGGATCTAGAAAATCCATTTATCCGGGCTTTACAGTAATATTGCAATAAAATGGGACGGAAATGATCGGGTGTAATTTGGATTAGGGGACAGTGACAAGAGTACCTTCATTCGCTGGAACGCAATGATTGGCGAAGGGCGCACTGTTGAAAGGATTTGGCTGGGGTATAGGGTTCGGGTGAGTCAGATAGTTAAAACACAATTTGACGGGTTTCATAATTGTAGTGGGGCATGCCGGTAAGGTATGCGTCGGTAGTTTACATTTGCTCGTGGTTTTTCGACGCTTATAAAAGAAAATTACTTGTATAAAAAGCGGTCTGCCAGTAGTTTGCTTTTTACAATCTTTTTTTTACTAAGTTATGTCTCCTCAAAATTAAGAATTGGATACAAGAGAATAATTAAGTTCATCAAGATTTAGATATTTATTAAGATTGCTTTACGATACGTCCAGCACTGGTGCCAGCCAAAGGCTCAAATGACAGTTTTGGAGATTTTGTTTCCATTCATAATACAAATGCGAGGTGATCGGCCCATGAGTGGGTCCCCAAACGTTACCACTGTGGTTTCTGTTGAATAAACAATCCAGTTTTTCCACATTAAGCTGTGTCACTCGGCAGCAAACAATTGGAGAAACAGGTATCTGGATATTTGCTGGAAGTATGGTTAACAGATTTCGATATATGTATTTATAAATTATTGATTGCTCATTGAGCAAAAGGTGGGTAGTTCACCGAAGACCGTTACTGGGAAATTCATCACATCATAATAACAAATCTAACGGGCTGGAATCTTTCGCGAATTGAAGTGAATCTCCACATTCCAGGTGCATGTATAAGTGAAGAAGAGAAAGACTCCTCACCCACAGGAATCATGACTTTGTTCATCTGAGTTTCCGACCAATTAATTCCTAGTAAGCAGTCGGGGATAGTATACCGCATCCTGTGTCTAAACTGTCCTAGTAACCACACACAGAACAGACCGAATGCATGTTCGGATCATCCATAAAGGAGCATAATCTTGTCATAAGACAGGTGATTGATTAGCACAAGTGGCTGCCCACACCTACGAAAGGGGTCACGAATTTAACTTTACATCCATCAAAATAATCGCCCACGCCAGAAGCGAGACAAGTTGGGAATTTATTGTAGCCTGGGCCTCCGAAGAGAATTCAGTAAATCAATTTATCGGTCTGACACCGGCATACACAGCCCTGTGCAGTCATCCCCGAACTGGCGGCACTGGTGGTTAAGTGGCCCCTGTCCCCTATAACTGGTGTTTATTTTGGTGCCGATTTCATCTTTGACGATAGAATCTAGGGAATTTTGAAAGCTCAGACAAATAGAGCTATGATTCTGGTGAGCGAACCACCTTCTTCTTTACTTACGCCTGAGTATATCCCAACATAATTAGAGTCATTGCTTTTAAGGGTGCCAGCTGACTGGATGACTCAACAATCATGGGAGTAGTTGTAGTGACTGGGGAATTGATTTGTTTTATGGTCACTGACGTTTCATCTGTTTTATCGACTGGACATCCACACTCTCCGACAATGTTGAAGAAGTTTGGGAACAGTTCAAAGGGATAGTCCGTACCCTCATCTCTAGCCACTGCCCAAGCACACGCAGAAAACTTACGAACAGACCTCGCTGGTTGACTCAGTGTTTAAAAACGGAAGTTAACAAGAAGAGAAAACTGTGGAAAACGTCCCTAATTGATAGGTCAACTGGATCTCTCAATATTTACAAAATGCACAGAAACCGGGTCAAACGTCTCATTGTCAGAGATCGACAGATGTTCGAAGAGGATCTGTTAAACCGTGCCATTGTTAATCCCAAAGTCCTTTACAGTTATATAAGACAGAGCACGCGGAACAGGGATCCTATCCCTCTACTGCAAACTGTCGAAGGTGCCGAAATCTCAGAGGACACGGATAAACCTGACCGTCTCTCTTAGTTCTTCCGGTCCGTCGAGACGACTGAACCCGGTTTTTTATCCCACGCCTATGAAGACGATTCGATTCCATTTATTGATACAGTCCTCTTCACTGAAGATATCATAAGGACTGAGCTTCTAAATTTGAAAGAATCGACCTCCCCAGGCCCCGATGCAATCCGGCCAAGCTGTTGAAGGAGCTAACTTCTTAAATGACCAAGCCACTAACCTTAAGCTTCCAGGCATCATTTTTTACTGGGTGCTTACCCTCTGATTGGAAGACAGCGACGATCACTCCCTTTTCAAGAGTGGAAGCCGAGCATCCGCAAATAATTACCGGCCGGTGAGCCTTACCCCCATTTGCTGCAAAACCATGGAAAAAGTCATTAAGAAGGCGTTGATGCAGTTCCTCGAGC